GGGGGGGGGGGGGGTGGGGGCGGGGTCCGGGGGCGGGGTCCGGAGTGCGCAGGCGGGGGTCCGAGGTGCGCGGGCGGGGGCGGGCCGGGACGAGCAGGGGACCGAGCGCGCGTGCGGGGTCTGGAGGCGGGTGGGGGCCAAGGCCGCTCCTTTGGTAGGGCTCTCGGTGGTTTGGCGTAATTGCTGGGGTATGTGGTGGGCTTCGGGGCCAGGACAAACCCGGCTGGGAGTCCTATCTGCGGCCCGGTGGACGTGACTTGGGGCTTATCTGCGTGTCGGCTCAGCCCCGGCGTTCGGTCTCTAAAATGAGTGACAATCTCGCGTGCAGAGTGAGGTGGGGAAGAATCTCTCAAGTGTAGCAGTAACAGGCGACCACCCTCTCCAGGCCAGCAGACCCCTCCTTGCCTTGAGCGCGGCTGACCCTTTCTCCATGGTCTGGATTCCTGTGTGGTGTCTCCCAGCGCCCCGTTCTTTCCCCTATGGCATTGGTCCTCATTTGCTGCTTGTTCAAACTCTCGGCTCCCTGGGAGAAGGGATGGCATCTGTGAGGCTTGTGCCTGGGTCCCCTACTTGCCGCATACGTTAACGTCATAGATAAGCAGTCTCGTCATCCTTTTCGGCTCTTGATTTGATTAGGAAAAGTACTGGGTTTTTCTTGGCGGTATTATAGGAGAACCAGTGGGCTGTGCACAAGACTCATACTGACATCATTTTCAGGTGGTATTAGTATAAATAAGTACAAAAAGAACAGATTTGGAACTCGGGGGTTCCAGAGGTCAGGGGACACTCTATGGAATGAATGTACCATTTGAGCCAGGTTTAGGAGGAGAGCTGGGTTTAAGTATGTAGAAATGTGGCACGGGTAGAGGAGAAACTGGCATTTTGTGTGCGGGCGTTAAAAAAAGAAGTCAAGGCATGGAGGAGGACCAGGAAACAGCAAGGAATCCAGCGTGAGTGGAATGTGCAGCAAATGAGATGGAGCAGGTTTCAGGGTTCTTGAATGTCAGGCTCATCAGAGAGATGTCAACACTTCAGAAGGCCTTAGAGCTGTGTTTTGGGGAGAATCACTGGACATAGCATGAGTTGAAGTAGGGAAGCCTAGAGGCGTGGATACCTAACTTGGTTCCCAGCTTTGATGGGAGTCAGGGTCTGTGAAGGAGAGATTTTGGAGGTGGAATCAGCAGTATTTCGGGTCAGGCAGGATAGAGAAGGGGGGAGAGGGAGGTAGAGGTGATGTATGCCTGGGACCGCAATGCTGTTATCACTGAAGCAGCCCAGAGCAGCTGCAGGGTGAGCACAGAGAGAAGCTCAGTGTGAGCCACGTTGGGTTTGAGAACCTTGCTGGATGTGGAGCGGAGATGATCAGTAGGTTTTGGGGGGAGGTAGGTCTGAAGGCGTGGGCAGTCGTGTGGAGGAGAAATGGAGGAGCCTGGGGTGGAGAGAGATTGCCTTGGTAACCTCCTCAGAGTGGGTCTAAATGTTCAGGCAAGGAGAGAAGACCACTAGTATTTGAGAGCATGGTTTGAGAGTGCAGTTCACGGCCACCAGGATCTTTGCAGGTTTCGCAGAGGTGTCAGAAAAAGGGGTGTTTTTAAGATGACTGCACATGCAAGGAAGAGTGCAGGAGCAAGGTCATCCTGATAACCGGTGTCTCGGGGTCTCCTGCAGTGCCACTGGCTTTACCACCCGGTCTGACATTGGGCCCGCCCGGGACGCCAATGATCCTGTGGATGATCGCCATGCACCGCCAGGCAAAAGAACCGTCGGGGACCAGATGAAGAAAAACCAGGCTGCCGATGATGACGACGAGGATCTGAATGACACCAACTATGATGAGGTAAGTTGTGGGGCTTTGTGGCTTCTCCAGCCAGTCCCCAGAAGGGCTCACCAGCTTCCTAATCCAGGGTGCTGTTGACGTTTGTGATGAGTGGCTGGTACATTTAATAGTTAAGCTGCCCATGGGACATCTTCAGTTAATTGGTGTTAAATCATTTCAGGTTTTTTTTTAGATGTCTTCTAACAGATGATATCTTTCTTCTGAGAATAAGATTTTTAAAATAATTTTAATTTTTTAAAAGATGACCAGTTAAGGGGATATTAACCCTTGACTTGGTGTTGTCAGCACCACGCTCTCCCAAGTGAGCCACGGGCTGGCCCTAAAATAATTTCAAATTTGTAGGAAATTGCAAAAATAATACCAAAAAAAGATCATAAAAGAGTTTCTGTATACCCTTCACCAAACTTCCTCCCATCTTACATTACCTTAGTACAATTATTGAAGCCAGGACATCAACATTGACACAGTGCTGATAATTAATCTGTAGATCTTTCTTGAATTTCACCAGTTTTCCCATGAATGTCCTTTTCTGGCTTAGGACCCAGCCCAGGATCCCCTGTTGCACTTTGTTGTCTCTCCCCATTGGGATGACTTCTCCATCTCCCATACCCTTAACACTCGCAGAGCACTCATCAGTTATGTTGTAGACTGTCCCTCAATTCTGGTTTGTCTGATGAGAAAAATAATTTAGCAAGTATTTTACAACTATAGATGTTCTCTGTTTCTGCTGCTGGGGTTGTGCTGGAGGAAGAACTGATCCCTGTATGTATGTTGTCTGGTTCTCAGTTTAATGGCTATGCTGGGAGTCTCTTCTCAAGTGGACCCTACGAAAAAGATGACGAGGAAGCAGACGCGATTTATGCAGCCCTGGATAAGAGGATGGATGAAAGAAGAAAAGAAAGAAGGTAAACAGATGTTACTGCCTTTCACACTGAGTGTATCCGTCTTCTTAAAAAATGTTTTGTTTTGGGCCAGCCTGTGGCGCACTGGAGAGTGCGCCGCTTGGGAGTGCGGCGGCGCTCCCGCCGAGGGTTCGGATCCCATGTGGAGACCGGTTCCCGCTCACTGGCTGAGCGTGGTGTGGGCACAGCACCGAGGGTTGCGATCCCGTTACCGGTCAGTAAAAAAAAGACCAAAAAAAAAAATGTTTTGTTTTGACTTGTTCTGAACTTGGAGAAAAGTTGCAGGGGCAATGTGTGTGTCTGCTGAACTTTAAGGCCACTCGGCTCTCGGTGTCTGGCAGCTGCACTTGCATGAATGCTGGGCTGCCTTTGGGCCTGGGGACTGCAGTAGAGAACTTAAGAACTCTAAGTCTGGCTTTCCAGAAAGCAGCAGAATTTGGGGGATTACTTTGGCTTTCTCTTAGGGTTACCATCTTTGAAATGGGCATAGTGGTGTTGATTAATCTATATTAAGTAATTTGGAAATGAACCGAAGATGGCAGATGAACATCTAAATCTTCTTGGGTAGGTGGTTGTGGTTTGGGAAGCTCGCTCCACATGCACTATTGTGACACGACCTCGCAGGGGTCAAGCGGGCCCATAGGAGTTGTAGAACACAGGGAGCTGGAGGGAGCCAGTTGCCGTGGGCAGGCATTCTGTTCTTGGGTGCCTTGTTGGAGATAAGACTGTTCCTCTGCAAGACTCGTTGCTTTCTCTGAGGGCTCTGAGGTGGGCATCTTGCCCTGAACTCTAGTTAGCAAATCTGTTGTGCTGATAACCCCTCAGTGACCAGTTACTGTGGTAACTTCCTGAATTCTCTGTTCTTGTTCTGGGGAAATTTATGTCAAGTGAGCACATGGTGCTGCAAAACATAATGAATGATACTACTTTGTAAGTTTTAAATATTTCTTATTATAAAAATAATACATTCTCATTATGGAATGTTGGGAAAGTGAGATTAGGTAGGGTTAAAAGTATAGTATTTATTTTTATGTTTTTGACAGCTGGCTGGTATGGGGATTTGAATCCTTGACCTTGGTGTTATAACACCATGCTCTAACCAACTGAGCTAATGAGTTACCCAAAAGTATAGTATTTATTCATAAGCCCGGAAACTGACAGTTAACATTTTGGTTCATTTTTCTCTTTTTATTGCTTTTTATACATGCAGTTTTGTAACTTCTCATGATGTATGCAAGATTTTTAAGTTTTTTCAAGATCATTATAGATGAGTGAAGTACAGTTCTTCTGGAGATTTTTTTAAAGCTTGTTATTAAATTGATATGCATAAA